ATTAAGATAGAGCTCTGAAAACACACAAAAACAGTGTTGTAGTAATACCCTTGACGGTATTGACCTATTTAGATTACTATTTTAAAAAACGTTTATTTGGGAGTAGAACCTCGTGGCCGTCGCCATGTGTTTTGAAGAGGTTATGTAATGTAGGTCTGTACTGTAACGTGCCGTGTGCGCTGGCCTTGACTGGCTTGCCGTACGAATTTACAATAAAAATACCATTACGAATAAAAAAAAAATGGTTTGTTGTAAATAGAAACATAACAACACAACAGACAGTGTTTTCTTGAAATATATTTATTTAAGACCAGATTTTTCCCGCGTCTTTGCTTTCTTAAACGTAATGTTTCAATTAGTGATGGAAATTATTGCTACTTTTAAATCAAAGTCATATAATGAAATGATTTGTTTTAGTCACAGCGATTTCACCTGTGATAAATCAATGCTAGGATTTATTTATTTATTTACAACTTTATGCACTTGTGTACAACGGCGGGCTTAATGCCCAGGGCATTCACCAACCTTTAGGTGGTGTAGAAATCTGGTGAGGTAGGTGCACTGAGGTCGCAGTTGTTATAGTAGTTATAACTAATATAGGTATACAATTACACATATACGGGCCTGTTGGTCTAGTGGTTAGTGACCCTGACTGCTAAACCGGAGGTCGTGGGTTCGATTGCCACCCAGGACAAATATTGTGTGATGAGCACGGTAATTTGTTCTGTGTCTGGGTGTAATTTACCTATAATATGTAAATACATATTTAGAAATATATATGTATGTTTATCAGCGGTCTGGTTACCATAGTACAGGCTCTGCCTAGTTTGGGATCAGACGGCCGTGTGTGAGTGTGTGAGATATATTATTTTATTATTATTATATATACATAAGTATACATATATAGATATAAAAATACATAAATACATATACTTTATATTTGTACACTGTAAATAGGGAGGTGTACTATTGAGTAGGTAATTCCGCCAACCGAAGAAGGTGGATTTGGTAATAGACAAAGAAAAATACCATGGAAAACTTAGCAAAGAAAAAACCAAACTTTGTAATTTAGTCAAAAGTGTGATTATATGATTTAATCTTCATCATCATCAACAGCCTATAATAGGCCACTGCTGGACATTGCTATTGTCCTGTGCAGTTAGCTCCCTTAGTCTTTAGATGTGTACCTACTTAAAAGTAATGACCATGCGTCTCTTCAAGTCTCTCTCCAATCCATAAAGCGAGACTTCTAAAAGCTCATATTTTTGATGATTTATTTCTATGAAGTAAGTATTGTCGCGCTAAGTCTTGTAGAGCGAGTAGTATACTTATATCTTAGAACTTGTTTGGATCGTATTATTGCTTTACTAGCTTTTGCTAGCTCCGCCCGTATGTCGGTTACCGCGGTAAAAAGGTAAGGTAGATTCAGTTCTTCCCCACAACTCAAGCTATCTCTATACCAAATTTTATCTAAATCGGTTTAGCGGTTATTGATTCCCCATACAAACTTCGCCTCCCTTTAAGGGCTGATTTCTGGGATCATATCCTAAGTCCTTTCCCGGGACTCAAACCATCTCTATACCCAATTTCATTGTAATCAGTTCAGCAGTTTAAACCTGAAGAGGTAACAGACAACCAGACAGACAGATAAATCGACAGACAGACACACTTTCGCATTTGTAGTTTTTAATAATGTCAACATTTGTAACTTGAGAATTAGGGAGTTAGTCCCAACGTAAGTATTTATGTATAATGTATACCTATATTGCTTTACAAATGAATGTTGTTATTGTTTGGATTATTTACTTTTTCTTCTACTTATTCCTAAGTACACATGACTTTGTCCTTATGTTCTCTACTACTTACTATTCTCTATTTACTCTTAAGGTTTGCTGGAAGAAAACTCAGCTTGGCCTTAATAATAAAAGTTCGCCAAAGGCGAGTTTTTATTGTTGTACATGTCATTGTTCTGACAGTTATTTAATATTCACACACACACACACACACACACACACACACACACACACACACACACACATTCTTTATTGAACACATGTACAATAAAAAATTAAGTATTTTTATAACTTACCTGGTCAGCTTCATAATATCGTTAAACAATGATGAGATTGAAGAAAAACGTTATTTTTAAGTTGAGGCAAATGGTGATTGCTCTCCCGACGAATTCTTAGCACCGAAACGAATTAGAATCTTGTTTTGAACTAGGTTTTACTACATACTGCGTGAAAATGTTTACTTACTTAAAATTTACAAACCGGTTATTTTAATTTTTATAGTTTTTATATACCCAGTGTTACTCTCACAATTAACAATTAATTATTATCTAACGACACCCAAATTGCCTAAATAATAAAGACATTTACATACTTACACTCGAAAATCATAACCTTCCTTGTAGCGCAGTCGAGTAAAAATATAAGATACAACTATACAATGTTGATGGCTAGCATTGAGAAAATATGTCTAGGCAGGTATTAAGTCAGGCAATGCGTTTAAGAACGATTCGGATGTCGAGATGTCGAGCAGTCTGTAGGTTAAATGTGGTGAGAATTCCGATTTTAAGCCGACTACCACGATATACGTTGGTCCAACTACTGCTGCGTGATTCAACGAGAGTTTACGGAAGGTTTGCTTTTTTACTGTCCGTGTGGGGACGGATTAAGAATACGAAGAGTTACCACTAGTAGTCTAAGTCTAGTCGAGTAGTACCTAAAGATTATCTTCATTTAAGATTAAGAGTATCTTCAAGGGCCGCTGTCGAAGTTGTGCGCATGCCAATGACAGCGGAGTATACAAGTCTATGGAATTACTTAAATTTGCTTTTGACAGTACTTGGCTCTGTTCTACCCAGGCAACATCAGCTAACTTTTAACCTTTCACTACGGCGACTACCAAGTCAGAAGTCATGGGTTCGATTCCTACCCAGGACAAATAATTGCGTGATGAGTGTTCTATATCTGGGTGTAATTTATCTATAATATGTATGTATTTATTTAGAAATATGTAATAAGTATGTTTATCAGCAGTCAGGTTAACTAATACGCTTGTACTAACAATTTCTGCCTAATTTGGGATTTGACGGCCGTGTGTGACATGTGTGAGGTTATTATTACTGTTTTGTACAGTCAAACTTTTATTTTCGGTGATAGCCCCCAACCTTTTGCGATGTGTTGCTTGCTTTGTTGCTACGAAAACAACGCAGGCTTTGTTCAGTTCATTGTCAGGATGCCAGTCCCATAAGAGTTTTCTATTAAGTGTCACTCTGATAAGTAGCGGGAATCAACTGGTTACTCAGCATGATTGTCTCTGTATATGTCACGAAAGGCATAACCACCACACATCCGACGTTTAGTCTAAAAGTCTTATGTCTTGGATGGACAAGGAGAGGAATAAATGCATTGGAAGAAGCCTGAAAGTAGCACCAGTGAATGATAAGTTGAAAAGCAACAGGTTATCCTGGTATAGGCATCTGATGCGTAGACTAGCAAATTGTAGTGGAAAATGTTTGTGGAGGAACGGGTGTAATGTTCCTGAAACACAAAGTTAGGATAATCCGTGATCATGCCTGGCGGGCCGAGACCCTACTGTTGATGTTGTATATAAGCTAATTGGCGAGAGAACTCTTCATATCGCGATACAGGATTCTCATTTAAGAGTTACTCCGTAGTTTGGTGTCTTCGTTAGATGGCACTGTGGTATGTTTCTTTGTATCTGGGAATCGCCACAGGTTTTATGGAACTTGAAGGATAAAAGATTAGAAGACGAGCAAAGAAAAAATGGATGGACTGCGTGGAAGAGGTATGGCTATAAAAGGAACAAATGAGTGGTGGAGGATAATGGAAGAAGAAAACTTATTGCGCCGACCTTAAATATTTTTTTTAAAGGGTAAGATGATGAGTTTGTTTGTTTATTATCCAGTGATAAATCACTAGTGTCAGAAATTACTAACTTAACCTCTCATAAATATAAATTTAGATTTAAATTTAGCTGTATTTTATTAAATATACCCACTACAATTGTTTGATATTGTCATAAATTACTATAAACATAAAAACACAAGTGTTTCGAGCATAATATATTACTAGTGAAGAGTACACCTATCTACTTGAAATTTTACAATTCAAACCATTGAAACAAACACTTCAAATCTATTTTAATTTAGATAATAGAATACTGTCTTCCTGATTTTCATTGGTCCCGTGATAGAAGCGAAACGATTTTATGAGAGATATACATTTCACGAATATAAATGAGTCGCCATATCTACTCGAAACTACGCACAAAATGCTACCGCTCGAATGTGTGGGTGGTTAGTAAGATAACGATTAGCGTTTCGTGTGTGCGTGAACAAGGATTGTATAATATTTATCTTAACAGACGGTGAAATAGGTAAAATATTTAATATTTAACTACCGTTTAAAACAATGAAAGTATTAAATCGAAATTCTTCTTTAATACATATTAGTTGGCAAACACACATTGACCACCCACCACCAACTGCAACAAATCATTACATGTTTCAGAAAGACATAACTGCTCCAGTACCTACTGCTACTAAATAGTCATGTAGGTATAAAACAACTTTATTAAGAATTATACTACTACTACACTAATTATTTAATGTAACAAAAAATAATATATTAATGAAAAAATATAATTTTAAGACGATGTAATAAATGAAATAAAAAGGGCACCAAAGTGTAGAATCCCAACATTCTAATAAAATTATGCAATTTTTCAAGGTCACGGCGTTAAACGTATTCTTCAAAGTGGCCCATCTGCCGCAATACTCTATGAATGTTTTGATGTAGCGCGTTCATGTATGACGTGTTTATAATACACTGCGTGTGTGTGTGTGTGTGTGTTTAGCTGGTAAACGTATTTATTTTAGGCACCGGCAACACCCGGTTCAGTCTTCCTTGCCTTTTTGTACGACTAACGTGTTTTGTCAGTGTTTGTGGAGCTAAAGTAAATTTGTCAAAATGTCCGCATCCCCAGTTGCAAGGCAGGCCACTCACAGCCAGGTGATACCCTCCAGGAGCGTACTAATTACGGACCCCTCTCAGATGCCCGATGTTTACTCCAGCACACCCGGAGGCACCGTATATTCTACTACTCCAGGAGGTAATTGAACTTCATTTGTAATCAGGTCACGAATTAAAACAATTATAGTTTCTTATTATCAATTAGTTAAAAAAGATAAAATGAACTTTTAAAATTAAATAATATCCGGATGATCTGTTTTTAATTAAAATAATAACTATAAAGAATCAATTAAAATATTATATTTTAATATTATTATATTAAAATATTAGCACTGACAACCATAATCTAGCTTTTATTTGTTTTATTGCCGGCGTAGGCAGCATATTGACTTACTCAACCTTGCATTTAATTTACGTTCCCTTCTTATTATGATGTGTTCTTTATATTTAGAAGCGACAACGACCTAATCATGTTTTTAATAGATTCAGTCGCTCAGTCACTTAAACCTTGAATAAGAGTTACTAACATAGAGCAACACAGGCCACCGCTCAATGGTTAATAATGATAATTCTGAATTATGTAACCATTACATTGAACCAACTTTTATTTAAAAACAAACAAATATCTTATCTATGTATGATAATACGTTTATTCAAACGTTCCTAAACAGCTTAATAAGGTTCTTCTGATAGTTAATAGTCAGTAATTTGGTTTAATACCGATGAAAAAGGAATGTAGGTACAACCTTTTTAATTTCGTTAAAAAAAATGTGTTGACTTTTATACTCGTAGTATTTATTGTCAAAAAATGGATAGAGCCTAAACTCAAAAACCACTTAAAGTCTGCTTACCAAGTTCCAAGATCATAAAGTTTTTTGTCACTCCTGACCCTAATTAGGTATTAAAAGAAGTACAAAATAACCAGGGCTGTCAAATCGTAGGAACGTATTATTTATTGGTTAATTTATATTTCCTGTTTGTATAATAAGTAGATGACATTTTAAATTGGATACGTGCCTTGTTCAATGTAGGCTATAGAAAGTCACTGTTAAGATGAATTAACATGGAAAAACTAATCTGCAGTTTTAGTTTTTTAATAAACTATTTCTGAACTGTCATTTTAATAAATAGGCAAGCAATTTAAGAGAAAAAACAGATATTTATTCAGTATAAAGACCTTGTGTTTGATAACGAGGTTCCATAAATATAAATAGTCATACACTCATAATATTATAGTGCAGTTTATTGCCCTCAGAGCGTCGGTCTTTTGAAATAAACCTATCATCATAATTAGCTGTATGATAAAAAGGAACGTGACCTCCCACTATAAAGTTATTAAATGAATGTAAATATAACTTTAAATGTGAAACTAGTAAAAACTACTACTTAGACTTACTAACATTTGCCTTTTTTAGTCAATTTACGCAATTCGTTCTTTTTTAGTTAACAGAATGCAACAGTTATAATTTAATTAAAACAACTTTAGAGTCTACTGGTCATTGATTATAATCGTCGATAAAGGCTGAGTGAGTGAGTAAGTACACAGAGTGAGTACACACTACGCAGCCGAGCTGTTATCTCAAACAATACTGGACTGTCGCTAAGCGTTATATAACTAGGTATACCGCTGTATAAATAAAACAAAGTCAACACCAGTGAATACCACCACATGGCTTGTTTACGTAACAGTCACGTTTTTGATAAAATAAATGTAGGTTATGTCACCAAATTGTGGTCGAGCCGTGTAATTCATATTCAAGTGGTAGATCGGTCTTCAAAATGAACACGTTGAGCGGTGAAAAAATAATATCAAATTCTGGTATTAAGGCGGTCCAATAAAACACATTAGCACACTTTTTACAAGTACCTAAGTAGGTAATTCACTTTGAAAAAATTCGCGGGATCAAGAAAGAACGTTTCATACCTAACTAGCACAGAGATAATGTAAAAGTTCTGCACTTAGGTTATTTATAAATAAATCTAAGGTTCTGCACTTCCGCCTTACTTTTTCATTCTTTTGGCAAACAGTAATTCATCTAAGGCGTTTGAATGAAAGGTTTTTTTTTTGTTAGCCTATTATTCCTTTTTGGTATGGGTACCTGTTGTTTTTTTTTTTGAAATCGTAATATTCTTCACATTCACGGTTCACCACTGTTGTATTACGCAGATTGATATAGGTTGTGTAGGTAGTTGATGTGTGTATGTATGATGAATTATTAATAAAAATGAACTGACATTAAAAACGTTTTAATGTCGTCAAAATTGTTCAACTTAACTTAACTTAACTTCAACTTAATAAAGTAGTAAACACTTTTGTTTTTTAAATCCATACTAATATTATAAGTGCAAAAGAGTGTCTGTCTGTTAAACTGCTGAACCGATTTAGATGAAATTTGGTATAGAGATGGTTTGATTTTTAAGAAAGGACATAGGCTACTTTTTACGGCGGTAATCGACATACACAGACAAGAATAATGTGCACTGGTCGTAAAAATTGAGCAGCAGTTTTATGTGGATTTGTTTTTATAGCGCAACATTAAAATATTCGTGATTATGCTAAGATTGAGAAACACATCTATTGGTGTCCTAAATCAAATTCTAATTTAGTTTATACTTTTACTTACTTTACCTTATTTTATTTACCAAGTTAAAAAAAATAAAGTTTATAAAAGTAAACACTGTACCACCTAAGTAAATAACTTACTCGAATACTTTCAGCATGACTTCACAGCCGCAGTATATGTTAGGTTCCTATTTCAAAGTAGTTTTAAAAACAACGTTAAGTATTGGAGTTTAGTTTTTTTAACAACATTATAATATTGCTATGTTATGAGAGGTGTGTAGTTATTTTATTATGTTCTATTTTCGACTTTCGTCGTGCGTAAATTCGTCTTTAAATTTAGGCATTGATCTTTTTTTGAAAATATAGTCATGGATTAATTACAATTTAACCAATGTAAAAATAGAAAAGACATTTTTTTTTACACAATAGGTTTCATACCCACTGTAATTTTAGTTCCTTGGAAGTACATAACACTCAGGGGTACTTTGAACTTGATTTTTATAATTTTTTATTTTATTTTCAGGTACAAGAATTGTGTACGAGAGGTCGTTTATGATGGCGCTGAGACAGTCACCGATCTCGCAAACCCCACCGAAATGCGCGCTACCGGCGTCGCTGCTGAGGAATCCCAGTTCCGTCCCTAATGTTATACACTCAACTGCAGCTCAAAAGCCACGTTCCAATTCCATTTCATTCGACGAGTCACAGGAAACCTTTAGTATGGATCTCTAATAGTTTAAGTCTCAAGTCATTAAAAAAAAAACTTATGTTTATTGTACGCGTTGGTTACAGTGAGCTTAGTGGTAATCTCTTTTGCTTGCTTTACCTTTGTAAAAGTACAGTCAAACTGTGAGTTTTTTTTTGTAAAAGAAAATTAACAAAAATTAACATTTTGTTATTTTTTGTCGTCTAAGTAGATTTAAGTATATTAGTTTTAAAAAGCGTGACTGAACAGTATAACTGCGTTCTAAACGCGGTCTTTTGCCACACCAAAAATATAAGAAAGTAATATACAATTTTATAAATCCCAAAAATAAATAAATGAATTCTTAATGGAATGGATGCGTTTGCGAGGCCAAAAATGCATTTATTGTTATAAATTGTGGCAAAAGGTAATTGTACATAGAACTATTGTTAGTTTTATGCGTTTAACGCATATTGTCTAGTTTAAGATTTTTTTAAACAGCAATTACTACTGAATGGAAGTTGATTAGTGGAGATAATTCTCTTCTGAATAGTGTTGCTGACATTGATGTGAAGTTTGTATCGTCATGTGGGTACAATATATTATTTCCCATGAGTGAAATGGTCACAGAGTATCCTAGTGTTTTATAATATCGTATTGTATTATTAACTACGCTAGGAGAAACACATTAAAGACTTAATTATATAAAATGTTTTTATTGATACGCTGATGGTGACTTAAGGTACATTTTAACCTACATTTCAAACAGGATACATAAATACTTGATTTTAATGTTATTGGGTCTATTTTGTTCAAAGTTATATTAATCTGTTGTATTTTTACAAGACTTAATAACAAAAGCAAATTCTCGTAATAAAAATTCGGTCTCAATTCAGTTCCGAGTTGTAAGATCAAAAGTTGATCGGAAATGAAATGTGAACGAACTTTCATTACGAGAATTGGCCTTCTTGAAGTTTCTCAGTATAAAGTATAAAAACCTATGTCAAAATTAGTACAAACTAGACTTTGAGTTAGAAATGTAATAGCATTGTAAGAAAAGTTTGAAAATACTTTTGATTTTCACTTATGACTTGACGTTTTAAAGGAGTTGCTTTCTACTATAGTTTTGTTCCAAAGCATTTAAGAATATCTGTTACGTTATGACAGAGTATATAAGTATTGTTCAATATCTCTCGTTAAATTTAAGTGAATTTTCTATTGTGTAATAATGAATGCTTTCAGTATCTTATGTATACTGCGTTGATATTATTTACAATATACGACTGCCAGTCATTATTGAAATAAAAAAATATAATTATATTTTGTTTTATTATATTTTCAAGAGGAGATTGAGTGCTCCTTTTAATAGAAGATCACTCATATTCTTTTTTTTGAAAGATTGAAGAGATCTAATGTTTTTTATACTGCTTGACGTGATCACCGTCGTGCCCTCTTAACTGAGGATGTTTTTGAGGAGATTAAACAGTTTGAAAATGGATATTTGTTTTCGTATCAGAAATATACAGAAATATAGTACGCCCTCTCTTGAGATTCCGATTACTTGGAATACACTAACAGATAATATTAATAATAATACTTTATTTTCAAAAATATTACATAACATGTTACATTTACTGTGACAACCACACTAGGCAAAGCCTGTGTAGTGGCTATCGAACAATACGATGTCTACGATAACTTGGTTTGTACAGCTTCATTATTCGGTTAAATACAGATCATGCGCTGGTAAAGGCCAACTGTTATGAATAGTGTAGTAAAACAAAAGAACTGAAGGCGCATTCTCGTAATAAAAGTTGGTCAAAATTCAGTTCCGATCAACTCTCGACCTCGAAACTATCACAAAAGGTATCGGAGTAAAATTACTAAAACTAGCAGATTACCGATTAAATTTTCGGTCACAATACGATACAATCACATCACAATCAACGTTGGATGTTTAATACTTTACTACAAAAATACCTTTTATGACAGTTGATAAGTGTGATAAGAGTTGATCGAAACTGAATTTTGACCGAACTTTCATTACGAAAATTGGCCTTCTGGAACTTGTAAACTATTAAAGATACACATTACATAACAATATTAATCAATTACAGCAATTCGACTTTTACTTATCAACTCATGCAATGCCTTTTATATCCTTTATACATAGGTAGGTACATGATTTCATTTCATGTATATTTAGGAATAGAATTTAAACATTCAATATATTTCAATTCTATTAGTGATAAAAATAGCTGCAATAAAAACAGTTACGTTACCGTTTTTTAAGGACATAGGTAACGTTGTTATTTATTAAATGTGTAATCGATTTTTTCATTGGACCTTGATAGTCTGGGTTACAAGATCATAAACGCTATAAAACTATCAAATAAACTAGTTTGTTTGATCAAAGCATAAAACAGTTATTTTCCATTATTGATTATCGTTTACATTTTTATTGAATTTAACTTTTTGATGATGGATTACGAAAATGGGATTCATAATCATACATTTTTTACTATAATTCAAAGATAGTCGATTGTCGATACGTGCATTAGACAGTGGTTTTAACAGGGCTTCCACCCTTCCGACTGCTAACCTAACAGTTTTTTTTATATCTAACACGCAACGCCATCTAGTTTCAAACTAAGCTGAGCTTGTACTATGAAAGCTAGATTGACTGAGAGAATTCCCATATTTTTTTAGTAAATACATATATATTATACATAGAAAACACCAAAACTCCGAAACAAATATTTGCAAAGCATACGAACATTTGGTCCGACCCGGGAATCGAACCCGAGACCTCAGAACAGCAGTAGCATACGCTACCACTGCGCAAGCGAGGCAGTCAGATCAGATGTTAACACAGAGTCTCTATATATCTGGAAAAAAAAATAATAGACGGTTTAAAGGAGATTTAAAGACGAGTCGAGTCATAAGGGTATTCACAGGGTACTTACGGGGCGGCAACGGACACTTGTCGTTGTCATCAGGTGACCAGTCTGCTCACTTGACCCCCGTGTAATAAAATAAGCGTCTAGTTACATGTCAAGAACAGCTAAAGGCTTTTCAATAAAAAAATATAGTCCATAAAATATGTGTATCAAATTTTGTATCAAATTATGTGCTCTAGCAAAAGTCTTTGAAAAAATTATTTACGATCAAGTGTACGGGGCGCTCAAAAATACTTTTAATTCATCACAACACGGTTTTTTAAGAGGACGTTCAACAGTTTCATACTTGGTACTATTGAATGATTATGTGACGCATAGCATGGACGATGGTGCTTAGGTCGATGTTATTTATACCGACTATAGCAAAGCGTTCGATAAAATAGATCACAACATGCTGAAAATAAAGTTATTTAAAAGTGGCATAAGGTGGGACTTACTTTGGTGGTTTTCCTCTTATCTTGAAAATCAGACTCAGGCTGTAGTTGTCAGTAACTATATTTCTAGATGTGTTCTTACCCCAGGTGTACCCCCAGGTTCCTTAATGGGTCTATTGATCACATACATGCGGAAATAATAAATAAATATATATATAATAAATATATAATATATAAATAAATAATAAAAAAAGCAATAGACCCATTGCTTTTTACAATTTACGTAAATGACATCGACTTCTGCTTCCAAAGTTATAATCTGCTCTGTTTTGCTGATGGTGTGAATATATATTCTGTAATATTATTGGCAAAGGATGTGCAGGCGCTTCAATCAGACTTATCACGACTTGATCAGTACTGTCAAATAAACAAATTAGAACTAACGTTCTCCAATACTAGCACCTGTATGAACTTAAGGGGCAAGTATTACCAACATGTGATGGGGTGCGAGACCTTGGCGTTTACTATGATGCTGTTACACGGGGCCTTGACTTAGGCTTTTAAAAAAAAGGAAATAGTAAAGTAATGAACACTTTTAATAAAAAGAATGATTACAAGTGAAATGGAAAAGGCGAGTGTTCACTCTCAGGGTTCGGAAGAGACTGATGCAACCTTACGCTCTGAGTACTGGGATATCTGATACCCGCCTAGTAACGCTTAGCTTAGCGATGTCCCATACAGAAGGGGTATGTAACAATGCGAAGCTACTGTTCGGTGTGCATATTGAGCAATTATTGCTAAAGCTTCCAAGGCTTTGGGGTTTGTAATGAGCATTTAAAAATGTTTTGTTAAAGCTAAAACGCTTAAAATTCTCTACTGTACTTTTGTTAGAAGCCACCTGGAGGCACGTTTAATACGCCTCTTTCCTAAGGAGAGTCCTATGTCCAGCAGTTGACTGTTGTGTGCTATTGTTGATGATGATAAAATTCGTGCATTAAAATACGTGAGTCTTTGAAAAATACCGACATTGTAAGTTAACGTTAATTAGTAGGTGGAAATATAAGTAAATGAATATTTTATGGGTTTAGATGATTGATTTCATAGCGATAAGCGACATTTAGGCATATCGGGCACAAGGGCAAATAATGATTGGAGCACCGTATCCATCGTTTATTTTTCATGGTGCAAAGCCAACATAATTGAGATAAAAATTACATTTTCTGGCAAGTTAACTGTGTTGTTTTGCTTTATTAACTACCTCTGTTATTATACCTATTAGGCCCCTACCTATGAAATTGCGATTTTAATACTGGCTGGTACAAAACTCTTACTCATTCATTTTAATGGAATTCTAAATATAAACTCGAAACTGGAAATTTACCACGGAAAACGGGTGTTAAGCAACTCTTTCGTTGATTTTCGGCCTAACTTCTCTCTTCCCCTTAATGTTGGAAGGGAAGGTCGTATAGCATCAATTAATTTCGTATAAAATAATTAAAAAAGGTCATACGTAATTTTAATGTAAACTTCTCAATTGATTTAGTTTACTTCTTTTGCAGAATGACAAGATCACATACCTGCGGAGCCATAATAACCTACCGCCATCTAGTGATGAGACACCGAACTATTAATTACAATTTTATGAAAGTAATAACATATTGTACCTAATCTTGATATCAGTAACAAATATAAATCTAACCTAAATCTTTTAGA